ACAAGTGTGCTTCGCGTCACCAGAGATTAAAGTTCTCGGTTGCTTCGTAAGCAACGTGGGTATTCGGGCTGACCCAGACAAGGTCAAGGCCATAGCAGCAAGGCAAACGCCCCGATTCCAAAAGGATCTTCGAAAGTGGTTGGGCTTGGCCAACTACCTTCAAAACTACAGTGCAGGGTACGCGGGCTTCGCTAAGCCCTTGTCGGGCTCCTTAAGAAGGACGTCGACTGGCTCTGGGAGCAAGAGCACCAGGATACTTTTGACAGCATCAAGGCCAGCCTCCAAGAGACCCCTGTCCTGGCCCTGCCAGACGAGACGAAGCCGTTCAGCGTCATCTGCGATGCCTCCGATTACGCTATCGGGTGTGCATTGCTGCAGGCCGACACGGCTGGACATAAACGAGTCATCTCGTTTCAGTCCAGGCAGCTCAAAGCCGCCGAACGGAACTACCCTGTCCACGACAAGAAGCTCCTTGTAATGAAATATGCCCTTGTGAAGTTTCGTGTTCACCTTCTGGGCTTTCGGCCCTTCGTGATCTACACAGACCACGCGTCCTTGAGGACGGCAATTAACTCGCCTCACCTCTCCCAAAGGATGGCGAGGTGACTGTCCTTCTTCGCGAAATACAACTTCCGCGTCGAGTACAAGCCGGGCAAGCCGGGCAAGCTGAACGTGCTTGCGGACGCCCTCTCTCGGTGTCCTGACTACGAGTTGGCCCACATCACACGGGTGACAACGGATCTTTATGATCGGATACACATAGCGTATCGGGACGATGAGGCTCTTGCGCCTATCGCCAAGTTCCTCACGGCAGGAACGAGCGCGAAGTCCGACTGGCTTTCGTCACGACAGCGCTCACGGCTCCACCGAAATGAGTTGAAGGATGGCCTCCTCTATTACCGGGTGGAGCCCAATGAACCTCCACGGGTGGTCGTACCCAACGACGAGGATCTGAGGTTCGATATCCTCGCGGAGGCACGACGCGCCCTCCAGCGGCCACTTGGGTCGCGAGAAGACCTTTCTGTCGGTCTCTCAGGCCTTCTGGTGGACCCACATGTACAAGTGGGTCGCCCGATACGTGAAGACATGCGAAACATGTCAGCGGGCTAAACCCGCAGGGCACGCTTCGGCTTCGTTACAAAGCACTGCCCGTACCGGCTGACTGTTGGAAGTCGATGAGTCTTTACTTCATCTTTGGACTTCCCGCCGACGGACACGGCAACACCGGAATTTTGGTGTTCGTGTGTCGGCTGAGCAAGATGGTACATCTTGCTCCTGTTCTCGTCACTGTTACGGGCGAACAAACCGCAAGGTTGTTCGTTGATGGCGTGTTCCTCTATCACGGTCTCCCGGAGACGGTTGTCTCGGACCGAGACCCGCGGTTCACGACTGTGTTTTGGAAAACGCTGTTTCCTTTACTGGGAACTCGTCTGCAGATGTCCACTGCGGACCATCCGCAGACAGACGGCCAGACAGAGCGCGTCAATCGAGTGCTCGAGGACACTCTGCGCAGTGTGTGCGCGGCAGCACCACGTACGAGTGCCTCTCACTCTTCGAGGAGACACTGACTCCTCTATACTAATTGGGGGAGAGGCTCGGAAAACCCTTTCCTCCCAGGTCTTGGATGTGAGACCAGTTTCGCTGCGGAAACAAGTGGAATCCTTTATGGATACCAAGCTGAGCATTGTCAGCAGGATCCGCGATGCCATGGCAGCGGCCCAGGATAGACAAAAGGAGTAATCGGACAAACATTGAAGAGGAAACTTAAGTGTATTTAAAGTGGGGGACTTACTGCTACTAGACACGAGGGACCTACCTCGTTAAACTGTCAGTTCTGTCGGCAGCAACAAGCTGAAGCATCGCTTTTTCGGACCATTTGCAGTCCTGGCCAGACATGGTGCGTCGTACACCATCGACCTGCCTAAGTCAGTGACGACGCACCCGACGTTCTATGTTGGACGTCTTACGCGGTACTTTGATCCGCAGGGGGTTGCTGACTCGCAGACCCACCTTGACCTAGCTCCTCAAAGCGAGGTCGGGCCACAGACGTCGACGAGGGCGTCGGAGCAGGCGCCCAAGCCTCGGTCTGGACGGCAAAGCTGCGGTCAAGGCCGTACGCAGGAGAAAATCCGTACGACCGGACCCCGGAGCCATACGCCGAGTACGCTGAATACGCCGGGTACGCACCATACGCGTACGTCTGGGAGTGCGTCGAAGGCGGCTCCGGATGTGACAACAGAGCCTTGATCCGTCGGATCATGCGGAAGGCCTCGTCTAGATCGGTCGAAGAGGCACCCGCAGATGCAGGCTCGCGACCTCACGCTCCAGCCGGTCCAGGCGGCCCGTAAGACGAGCGAGCTCTCCCTGATTCCCGGCCTGGGCGGCAGCATCACAGCCAGTCCCAAGGCCAAGTGCAAACTCAAGCACGAGAACACGTTGACGGAGGCAGTCAACCTCAGGGCCCTGTGTCGGACGCGCAGTCGGAGCACTCGGACGAGAGTGGCGTTCGGGAGGCGCCGAGTACTCGTACTCGTACGAGGGCACCTCCGCCCCTGCTTGACTAGAATGGAGAAGTCCACTATCACGTGGAGCGGATCCTCCAGGAGCAACGGCGTCGTGGTAAGCGACAGATCCTCGTGAAGTGGAGGGGTTATGCCCACTCCGAGAACTGGTGGGAGCCGATTGAACGGCCTCTGATTGACTGCCCGAAGGCTGTCGCAATATGGGAACAGAAGCGGCGGCAGCTTCTAAGTAGTCCGGGGCTTCTTGCCCGAACGGGGTACGGACGATGAATACACTCCGTACCCGCGCTCATCGTGAGTGCTGGAAGCCGCACGCTTCAGGATGTCCCTTGGCAGCATGCGCTTGCCGACCAAGTGGGCAAAGCGAATACGAAGATCACGCTGGTCCAGGATGCAGGACAGCAGCTGATCTTCATGGAGTTCCCGTAACTCCGTGGGTGAGTACTTGAGAGACTCTACCCACGCCCAGAACATGTCCTCGCAAGAACGCTAGGTGGGACAGTTCTCGGGCATAACCCAGGGGTATCCCAAAGAGGATAGAGACCACCCCAGGTTCCGGGCTTCTTACGACAAGTCGTGAAGGCCTTAAGGGGGATGCGGTGTGGCGCGAGAAGCTCACACCGAGCAGCCTCCAAGTTGTCGACAAACAACTGTTCTTTCTGAACAAGAGTACGCTCGTAAATACCCCTAGAGGTGTGGCCGCCAACAAGGCCACGAGGAGCAACGAGAAGCTCCAGGAAGAGGCCAGCCCCAGAGCTCTCCTCGGGAGGCCAATACCCTCGCGAGTTGATGGCAGCTCCCTGGCTGATGGGTGCCACCACCGGACCCCCACGCACACGCTGGGCAGCTTGGAAGTCCTCCTGCTGCTGGTCGAGATCATTCGAGATCTCCCGGGGCTCAGAGATAGCACCCTCTTCCTCTTCCTCCTCCTTCTTTTCCTCTTCATCCGAGGAGTCGAAGAGGCCCCGATGGGAGTACCGAGTCTCCTTCTTCTCGCGAAGTGAGGACTTAAAGGCCGAACGCTTCTTTGAGGGCTTGGCGCCTTCGGCTTTTGAGGCCTTAGCACGCGCAAGACCCTCGGCAAGCGAGAGACGTTTGCGAGGTTTCTCTTCCTCATCGCCACCAGCTTTGGGAGTGCCCTTAGCCTTGACGGCCGGACTCGCAGAGCGCACAGACGTCCTGGGACTGTGATCACCTTGATCACTAGCGAGCGACTGCACGCTGTCGTCCTTGTGCTCGCTGGGCACTGGGCTGTGTCCTCCCGCAGAGCCTGCAGGAGCATCGTGCGTGCTCTCGGACTCGGCTTCGTCCTCACTGCCAGAGTCGAACTCACGTTCTACGAGCCGAGGGTTCGGACGATTGTCTGGAGAGGTCGAGGGCGACGGGCTGCGGCGCTTGCTTGTTCGCTTGCCCACAGCCTTGCCGACCGATGAACCGATCGCCTCGGAGGCCACCTGAGTAGCCTCTTGAAGTGCCGAGCCTTTGCCGTGAGGCTTAGTGCTCTTGGCTTGCGCCTTTCCGGCCGCAGCCTTGGAGCGTGTCTTCGCACCGCTCTTTGCTTTGCCACGAGGCAGGGTCAACGGTCGAAGTGGAGACCAAGAAGAAAAGCGCACAGACTGCTGCTCGAGGCTCTAACTGTGAAGTGAGCCTCCGCTGCGCTCGCGCGGCCAAGTCGATGGTTTTCGACTTTGAGAATGAAAGTTTGTGACGAACACTTCTTCATCCTGATTGGTCGGTAAGCCGAACCTAAGTGGGGGAGGGTGTAACGGGGTACGTAGCCCTAAGTGTACTCCTCGTTACATGAAGTGTGACACGTCTCACTTCAGAAGTATGACACGTCATACTTCGGGATATTTGGTACAAGGTACCAAGGTCGTCCAAAGCCAACCATTGGTTGAACATTGCATTTCTATAGGTGACTTATAGTTTGTATTAAACCCAAGCTTTATCTACCTATAAATATACTCAGTTTACATTCAACCTTAAATAGGTCACTTCGCTCTCTTTTGATAAAGAGGGGACTTGTGAACTGCCGTTCACTGAGAGTTTGTATACTCTCGGAGGTTAACTTCCTCTAGCGCAAGGTGCTGTGTGACCCCGTCACAATCGGTGCCTATAGTATATTTTACCGTACTTTGCATGTAGACCGATACACCCCATGTTATGAGGAATATGTTCCCCATCAAAACTTATGTTAAAAAGCTGAAGAAACAAAATCTCTATTTTTCGACATTTGCCTCTTCGATGAAGAAACAAAATCGCTATTCTTAGACAGTTGTCTCTTCGATGATGTCCTGAACGGCGAAGTCATCACTTTCATCTACCGGTTGCCCTTCTAGTAGCGAAAGTTTCTCGAGCTGGGCCACCAACTGACTCGATGCAATACAGCTCGCACTCGGCTCCAGCTTACTTCGCTTAACCCATTAGAAATTGTAGTAGCAGGAAGTGATTTCCACGCATGCTGAATACAGCCACATACTAGGATCCTGCTGGGTCGACGCAGCTTGAATGTTGTGCGAGCAGCTCATCGACACCCGCTGGCTGCGAGACAGCGGTCGCGCTCTTCTGCACTTTCATTAGCACTACGTTGATTACTTTTGTACGATGCGGCGGCTAGATTAAGATAGAAGTGAGAAATGGTGGCTCGCATAGCTCCCGTCATCTTTAACATCACTAAAACCGCGAGCTTCTTGTCAGCTGATTCAGCATTGAGCTCGTATTGCTGCGCGTGGCGGCCACGTCCTCCTCGTCGGGGTCTTCCTTTTGGCTTGACACGAACCATTCGCTTGTGGTGACATTTCTAAATTTGATAGTCATTATTTCATTTTAGTGTCGTGTATCGCTCGACATGCGGGATCTCAGTTCTAATCAATGATTCACTGCTGGGTGGGTGTATCGCTTTAGTAGCAGTATCGGTCTGCATGCGAAATACGGTACTTTTTGCTGGATTTATGGATATAACCAGTGGGAGGCTGTAAAGGTTTAAGATGACTTGATTAAAGTATTGACAAAGTCTGCAAAACACACCTATCCGTCACACTCAGTAAAATGATCTTCCTGTATTGGTCAAATTTATCCTGTTTTGACTTGTTATTGAGCAATTTTAATCGCACTGTGTAGTCGTACCGTACGACTCGTACGAGTCATATGGAATAAAAAATGGAAAATCTTAGCACAGTGCCCCGAGCCACACAATCAAAGAAGCCGGCAAGGGGGGATGGCGTTCAAGCAAGTTTGGCGCCTTCTGCGCTCAAAAACATGGACGTCGGTACCCGCCCAAGGCCTCGATTATGGATAAGCTGTGTGACGGGATCACACCACACCTCGCGCTAGAGGAAGTTGGCTTTCGAGAGTTTACAAACTCTCAATGAACAGTAGTTTACATGTTTCTTCCGTCTAACGAGCGAAGTGACCAATTTAAGGTACGCTGTAAGCTGAATGTATTTATAGGTGGACTAAGCATAAATTAAATATACAAACTATAAGTCACCTATGGTAAAGCTATGTCATCAGCCAATGGTTGGCCTCTGACGACCCTGGTACCATGTACCAGATATCCCGATGTGTGACGTGTCACACTTCATGTAGCTAGGGGGTACATTTGGGGCTACGTACTCCGTTACAAGTTGCCCCCCCACCCCCACCACCATCACCACCCACCCCACCCACCCGCTCTTCTCCCTATCTCAAGCTGTACCTTCTCGGTGCTGCATTTGCTAATTACTGCCGTCTTATTGATTATGCTTCGTTTAGATTCTACTCTGTGAAACCTAGCTGCCGTGTGAAGTCAGGCAAGAAAGAGGTTGGCTACATCCACGAGGAGGGTGTCCTACTCAAGTACATGTACGCTGATACTGTTCTGCGAGCGCCACAAAATTGAGCCTGTCATGAACGGCCCCTAACCACCAGCAGCAGCCAATTCAAGCAGTAGGTGTATGAACGCTTGACCTCTTTAATGGGACCTAACTGACACTGAAACGAACTGATAGCGCAAGAGAGGGGTTGTCAAGGAGCCCACAGCGGCGGTTGCGAATGTGGAAGAGTCACACAAAAAGAAGGGCAGAAAAGAGACTCCAGTCCCCAGTCGCGAGGAATAGATAGGAGACACGCCCGACCAAGTCGTCAGGGGTCAAGAAGATGAAGCAGATAAATAACAGGCTCCGCGACCGTGCGAAGTCGCTCCTTGAGACAATCTAAACTTCTTCCCGCTCTGAAGGTGTATGTGTACCTTTGAGTGCATTGCAAGCGTGCTGACACTAACGAGCTTGCGTGCAGGTGGAGTTTAAGCGCGAGAAGGTGGCTGTCAGGACGACGAACGTCAAGCATCGATAAACCCGACTCGGAGGGTACTACAGAAGCTTCTATATGCTTACAAGAAGGTATTACATATGCTGACATGTTGGGTTTTTCATATACCGACACAGGTTCTTGTGCAAGGTTTATCTTGTACTGACAATATGTTCAAGCCACGAAATTATATTTACTAGCGTACTATGATTCTGTGTGTCCCGGTATAACCTAGACTCGGCCGGTAAGGACAGCGAATCGAGTGCGGCGCGCCAAGTGGACCCCGAGTACACCGATAATTCGGCAGCGATGGCGACACATTTGAAAACAATACCGGGACCACTGCTAGTGTTGGGATTTCTGTCTGCGAGGGTATCGCCGCTGCTCCTGCGACGAATCTGCTCGTCCTAGGCGTCGATTTCGACCCAAATTTCGCTGTTGAAGATTCGTTGGCATTTATGGATTCCGATACCGAGAATGCGGTAAAGAAGTGACCGCCAAAGGCGATCTCTCATCAGATTCACCACCGGGCCATTCAGAACCCGACAGCGACGACGATGGATAGTGTCAAGATCCTACTTTGGGTCAAAGAGCAATTACAACTTCATCTGCGAGTACAAGGTGCGATGCAACCATGTAATTCGTATTGAATCTGTCAGCTTACCAGTTGCTGTGCTATGTTGAGAGAGTCATTACCCTTTTTTGACAGCACCCAGATTGTTGAAATGGCGGCAAAAGGATGGACTGTGCTGCCAGACAATAGCGTGTCTGCTTTAGAAAATGATGGCGAGATGGATCCAATGTACGATGGGTACTGTGGACCCACTCCTGGTGCGTCTGTGTGCGGTCTCTCTCCTGGTGAATTGCTTTTCTTTTTCTACTAAAATCACTTTGGCGGCATATTGCAAGTGCGACCAATCGCTACTGAAAATAGACGCTCGAGGCAAGAGTTGAAGAAGCTATCACAAAAGAACAGGCCGTGACGACGCGAGAACAGAAGACAAATGAACAAACGCGCAAACGGCTGCTTCGATTCAAATCTTACCTAGCCTCACGAGGTCCTACAGTGGCTCGGCCTCGTCGTCGCGCACACGCAACGCCCAACAGAAAGGATGAAGATGCACTGGTCTACAAAGGCGCGACGTGTAATTCCTACTGGAACATTTGGAGCTGTCATGAGTCGCGATCAGATCCGTGCGATTTCACGATTCCTGTATCTCTCCGACAACGACGCGCTCACTTTACGAAGTGATCGAGCGTGGAAGCTCCGCCCCATGTTTTCGACGTTGGAGACGACCTTCACAGCATCACAGCCGCTATGTTCGTTAAACCAAATGCAGAAATATTGTACTCACTGCAGTCGCAAAAACATTCTCGGGGTAAACTAGTGTGACAACCCGCTTACGCCCCGTTGCTGGCGGATCGTATATTGTCTGTGCTTCCTGCGGTGGACTACCAGTAGTTCGGTTTGTTGGGTAGCCCGTCTCAATGCAACTCACACACTCTGTAGGCCCCTCGCAAAGGTGCCGGGACTCTCGTCCCTATTTTATTTACTTCTCTCCTCAACTCCTGTGACTCTGGCCTGTTGGGACTAGCAGCCGCGAACTCGCTCTCGGTGGCGTGCTATCACTCACCTGACTCACCCTCTCAACTCTCGACCTATTGCCACGGTTCTTCTCTGGGCCTTCTTTCCCGGAATACACCGCTACTCAGTCTCACTCTTAAGCTTCCGACTCGCCACGCGTCCGTAGCTTATCGAGCGCCCACTCTCCGTGCTCCTGTCCTTCTAATCCACCCCCAGCACAACTCTGTCCACGCAAAGCACCGACGATTCGGGTCCCACTAAACCTCGCTTACTAAAGCCACTTGGATTACGCCTCTGGCGCCTACCCTACGGCTCGCAGCCACACAGTAACTCGGAGGGTCCTCTCCTCCTGGTCTCGTCGCCCGTCGCTGTCGTTGCCCCACGCGTCCACCAATGCACTGACGACTGATCGTCCGTCCAATCGCACCTCTTCTCTCTCTTCTCCTTCTCTCTTCTCGTGTTGGTCCTCTGACCGCTTCGTGCACCCTACTCACTACCTCGCACTTCTCCGTACTCGCAGTTACTTCGCCTCTGTGCTCGACTGCGCAAATCTCGAAGTGAGATTCAATCTGCTACTGCTCTCCTGCGCAAATCTCGAAGTCTCACCGCTCTCCGTCTTCACGTCGCTTTTCCTCTGCACGTTGGGTTCGTGTTGCGATCTTTGGTCACTCCTGATTGGCTCGCAACTCTCACGCGTCGCTTCTGGATACAAGATCGCATTTGTGCGGCCTCCGCTCGCCACACCAACTGACGCCATGTAACCGCTCACTTCACTAACGTACCCAATACCTCCCACGTGCTCTATACTGCTTGACTCCTCGGCAACCACCGTCAATGCCCTATTACACGTCTTCCCCAACCACAGAGTCTTCCACGACTCTGTCGCGACTAAACAACTCTTCGTACCGCTGAAGGGATACCCATCTTGGTCCGGCATCAACTTCTCGTCGTTCATTAAGCCCATCTGCCGATCGTGCTGGTCGCAACTCGTACTCAAGGACGTACTGTTCAGCTCTGTTCCTTCTCCTTCTACGTCGTAACTCCACCAAGACGCCACTCGACTGCTCTTCTGGCGCTTCGTCATCCACTGCGCTTCGGTCTCTTTTCTTACTTGATACTGCAACGCCTGCTTGTCCAGATGCTGGCGCTGCTCGTACAGCTTTCGCTGCCGCCGCCGCATCTCCCCCTTGCTTCTCGTCATCCTCGTCTGCTAGTTGGTCTTCAATATCCTCAGCCACTCGTCTAAGTAGTGTTGTAGGAAAGTGATAGGTCGCTAGGAACGATACGTGAGCAATGTACCGCTCTTTTTCCTCCTCTGTGTCTTCTCTTTCGATCAGGAAATTGCCGTATCCTGTCGACTCAATAACTCGCATTAGCCCTACCCATTGGTGTACCAATTTAGACGCTTTTGGTCCTCGTGGAGGCCGAAACATCCAAACCCGGTCTCCTGGTTTTATCGTCCGTTTCGTTCGAGTTTTCCTATTGTAGTATTTTGCCTGCCGTTGTTGCTCCTTCGTTCTTGCCCGCTCAGCACACTCACTACTGTGTTTCATCGCTGCCAACAGCTTCCTGTGATACGCTGTAAGCTCTCCTGCTTCCCGTACGTCCGTGCTGAGTAGTAATTCGTTCGGACTGCGAAGTCTTCTACCCATCATTAACTCGTTCGGTGACAGTTTGACTGTCGTGTGTTGTGCAGAGTTATATGCGTACGTCATGAAGTCGACCCAGGTGTCCCAGTCACGTTGGTCTTCACTGTTCAGGTATGTAGCGACTCCGTCTTTCCACGTGCGATGAAATCTCTCCACTAATCCAACCATCTGTGGTCTGTACGGCACGGGGTTGATCTGTTGCGCTTGTAGAAGTTCTATCAACTGCTCAATCACCAAGCCTGCTAGCTCTGGAGCTCCATCTGTCAACAGCTCACGAAATGGTCCAAACTTGAGTACTACTTGCTGCATTATAAACTTGGCCACATTTTCTGCCGTGTGTTGCTTCACTGTAGCTGCCACTGCGTACCGCGTCACATACTCGACTGCGGCTATGACATAACGGTGCCCTCCATCAGTCGTGGGTAGTGGACCTGCTACATCTAGCGCCCATCGATCTCCAACATCACCTCCGTTGATACTTCTGAGAGGCGGTATTACCTCACTTGGTCGTGCTTTCCTACTGCCGCATTCTTGACAGCTTCTCACCCACTTTTGTACCTCTCGCATTAAGTCAGGCCACCAATACACCTCTGCAATTCTTGCGTAAGTATGTGTTGCTCTAAGATGTATAGCCCATACTGAGTCGTGACTCTCCTTAAATACAATTGCCCAGAGATCTGGAGGCATGATTACACGTCGACCCCTCGCTGTGTTGATCACTACCAATCCGAACCTTGTCTCCACCTTCATGCCGCGATGCTCACCCGTATTCAGCAGTCTTCGGATCAGTTTGCTTCTTTTCTGCGACTCCATGATCTCCGTATCGGTTAGTTGCAGTGTCTGCGCGCCCGTAGCCTTCCGCGTACTTGTACTTCGTAGCTTTATTCTTCGCTCTTCGCTCGTTGTTTGTACAGGTTTTGCTGCGACTGTCTGCTTCCTGTTACTACCACGCATGGATCCTGTTTGTTGCACCACCTCTCTTCTTCTTTCCCCGTCTCCAGCAGATACTGCTGTCGTCTTTTCCTTGGTCTTCCTGGTATTTAATGGTGATTCGCGTACCGGTCGTTCACTACTGTTCTCAACTCCCCGTTCTTTCGTTGGCCCTCTCCTTCGCGTCCTTACTGCTTCAGGTTCACTCACTGTTCCAGTTACTGGTAACTCCTGCGCAGCACCATCGTTGATTTCGGTTCCCGCAATTTCACCGTCACCATTGTTGCCTTCTCCATCCGTGGCCCTCATTATAAATCGTTGCGCTTCATCTGCTGTTGCGTCCTGCGCAATACCCGTCGTGTCACTCGCTTCCACAGCGTCCGCCACATCATTCGCATCACTTTGGCGTCTAGCTTCCTCAGCTCGTCGTGCTGCTGCACGGGTCACTGGCCCCATCGTATTCGTCTCTGTACTCTGCGGCACGGCAGTCGGTGTCGCTCGTATCGACGTACCGCCCGTAGACATCATGCTAGCACCGTAAGTCGCCCTTACACTGCTCGTTCCGTTCTTCTTGTCGACATCAGCTCCTGACACTACACTGCTCGTCTCCGTAGCGACTTGGCTCACATTTGCCGCTTTCTTCGTATTGCCGTATGCTGAGGTCGTCACTTCGACTTCGTCGTTCCCGCCGTCGTCATTGTCCGTCTTATCCTTCTGCTCTTCTGCAACTGGCAAAAACACGATATTTGAGATCGTTGTGGCATCTGCCACCCCTGCTGATTCTAACGGCGCTTCATCCGCTTGAACTTTCTCTGCTGCTCTGACTGGTCGATGCCTTGCCGCATCTGTCATGTGTGCCTCTGCACGTCGCCGCGATCGTCGTCTTCTTCCTACCGCCGCTAGCACCCTTTCAGCCACAGGCGCTCTCGAAAGCGCGTCAGCCACCACATTCGTGCTGCCAGGTCGGTACTGAACTTCAAAGTCGAATTCTTGTAGAGTGAGTGCCCCAACGATGTAACTTGCCGGTCAGATTTGGACTGGTCATCAGCCATTTCAAAGCTGAATGATCTGTGATAATTGTAAACCGTCTTCCGTAGAGATAAGGTCGGAACAGTCTTATCGCCCATACCACCGCTAAGCACTCCAGTTCCGTGATACCATACTTGCTTTCCGCTACATTGTTCACCTTGCTTGCATACGCAACCGGCTGCCAGCCGTCTCCTCGGTCTTGCATAAGACACGCGCCAAGTCCCGTTTGGCTTGCATATGTTGTTACTCTGAATGGTTGACTGAAGTCAGGATATAGGAGCAAGGGCCTTGTCGTAAGCATCTCCTTAACTCTCCCGAACGCTGATTCCTGTGCGTCACCCCATTCCCATTCCACATTCTTTCTCAGCAACTTAGTGATTGGGGCCATGAGAGTCCCAAACCCTTGCACAAACCTCCTGTAGTATCCCGCTAAGTGGACAAATCGCTTCGCCTCCACTGTATCTGTAGGTGTAGGAAACTCTTGTACAGCCGTCATTAGCCTCGGTAATGGTCGTACCCCGTCACAACTCAGCTGATGGCCCAAATATTCCATCGTTTTGGCCGCAAACTTGCACTTCTTTAGTTTGAGCGTCAATCCCGCAGCTGACAATCGCTCGAAGACACATGCCAACTCAGCACATGTTGCTCTATCCCTCCACGTGTGAAAACCACTATGTCGTCCAAGTAAACTAAACATGTTAGCCACGTCAACCCACGCAGAACACCGTTCATCATTCGCTGAAATGTTGAAGGAGCATTCGTTAAGCCAAATGGCATACGAACAAACCTATACAGTCCTCTCTTAGTCGTGAAAGCAGTTTTGTCACGATCCTCCGGCGCAACTAAGATCTGCCAATACCCAGCTCGCAGGTCAAGAGTAGTGAAGAGTAATGCACCACCCAAGGCTTCTAACGTTTCGTCGATTCTTGGAAGAGGGTACACGTCTTTCTTAGTGACCCTATCGAGAGCCCGGTAATCCACACAGAACCTCACTTCGCCATCTTTCTTCCGGACGAGTACCACTGGAAACCCCCAAGCACCGTTCCCTTCTTCAATAACACCTGCACCCAGCATTTTATCCACGTTTTCTTCTACAACCGCGTCTTCCGTTTGCGCCTGACGCCTTCTCTTCAGCATTATCGGAGCAGGGTCCCCCGTGTCAATGTGATGGTACATCTCTAATGCAGTTGCAGGTGGACATTCACCTGTATCTTTCGTTAATTGACGATAGGCTCGTAGTAACTTCATGATCAGCTCTCGCGCTGCTGGCTCCTCGGATCCACAGCTCACTTGGCTTTCATCATCCAAAGGTGTCTCCGTGTCTCCCATCTCGTCGAGCCACGCACTCATCCTATTCGCATCCAGTGCACCGTCCATCGCTAGTATTGTCATCTCGCTACTGATGGGTATCCACGTGCCCAACTGCTTCTTGCTCGGCAGTCTCGTCGGCTTCGTATTCGTATTAACAGCTGGAACCCACGCACGTCCACTGCACACCGTCGTTACTGTTGCCGCCAACAACACCGATCCTGCGTATACCGTCGGAATGAAGATGCCCTGCTCGCCGTCTTTTGCGGACACCGCCACTTCCACCGGCGTTACCGAACTATTTTCGATCTGCGTCTTTCGTGCCATTCGTACGATTGCCACACGTGCTCCACCGATATCGTCATAGGTCCTGAACGGGATGATCACGGATTGCTCTTCATCTCGATAGCGTAGCTCACTGTTCTCGAAGTCCATGACCGCACCGTACTTCTTCATAAAGTCGACACCAAGGAGGAATTCCTCCACACAACCCGACACAATACACGCGTCTACTGTGACCTTCTCGCCAAAGGCGCTGCTCATCTTAAATCGCCAGACTCCGATGACATCCAAGAGAAAGCCACCAATGCCCTCCACATAGTCAACGGGTGCTTTGTCTACCAATTTGTCGCCATACTGCATCCATTGTGTCCCTGCAATGGTGACTGTCCAACTTGATACACTTTCGAGCTCCTGCCACTGTCATCGTAGCTGTCGGTAATCCGTCGTTTACTTCCACGTACTCCACCTCATTGTCCGTACTGGCCAACTCCTCGTCACACTCCGCACGTTTTTGCCGTTGTACTAGACTCACTCTAGCGGTTCTCAGCGCGCTCGCTGCCTTTCTCTCATTTAGCTGATGCTTCCGCCCCACGACTTCGTTTAAAGCGACTTCTGCAACTCGTTGTCGCTTGGTCAACTGCTCGACGGTAACACGCTGTATTTCTTCTGCATCTTGCTGCTCGGTACTACGCTGTCGTGCTCGCACGTTCATCATTTTCTTGCGTTTAGCTTGTTTCCGTTCTCTTCGACGTGTAAGACGTATTTGTGCAATACCATCGCTTAGCTGTGCGTCTACCTTCTCCGCGGTACTCGTGCCGTTGTCCCTCGCAGCTCTCGTCGTGTCCTCCGCCTCAGCCATCGTTTTCCTTCTCACGACCGTGCTCACCGACAGCTCTCCGATACTCTTCACCTCGCCATCGTTGGTTTCCGACTGTGGTGCTGATAAAATACGCGCCTTCCCCCAGTTTGACGCTTGCCGTCGAGTCCACAGCCCTCGTTCTGTTGTTGATCCGCAGATGCAGCGTATTTGTATCGTGCCGAGGCCATCGCTGGTCTCACTGTCGACACGTGGATAGCAGCCCTCGCACCATCTCGCTCCGCAGCCCCGTCTCGCCATTTTTCCAACATTGCATCCACTCTCTTAGTCTGGTTCTCTTCGCGTTCCACTGTCGTTTGTGCCACTGCGCCCACGCTGCCACTCGTACTTCCTCGATCCCCTGGACGCGCTGACTCTCGAATGTTTACTGACCCACTTTGGTATGTTGGCGTCCTAGCATTCTTAGGCGTCCGTACCGCTACCTCATTTGCTGTACCAAGTAGCATGGCGTCTCTCGTCATCTGTCGGGGATTTCCTTCTGTTGCCGGACGTCGTATTACCCCTACCTCGTCCGTCTCTAGTTTTCCGCTGACTGTTCTTTGGGTATGCGTGTCTTCAAGTACGCCTCGTTACGCTTTTTGGCTTCCTGATCAGTACACGCACTTGCCATATGCCCCAATTTCCCACATGCATAACACTTCAAGGTTGGACATCCATTCGCAAAGTGACCAGGTTGATTACACCGATAGCATACGCCAGGACCATCGCCACGTGGTTGACTGCTGTTTTGCTGCACTCCTTTGGCCTCTCCGCTATCCGGTTGCTGTCTGGGCTTCACTGTTTGTTTGACCGCTGCTTTCGTCTTCCTGTATTTTGGTCTTGCCGCAAACTCATCGTCGCTCGAGTCCTCGACATCTCTCCTCCGTTTTGCTTTCCCAGCAGGTTTCTTTGCTTCTTTGTGACTGCTCGCCACAGCCGCTGTAGTCTTTTTTACGTTCTTCCTCGGCTCATACCAGTACCTTCCGTTCCATAGATGGCCAGGCGGGGGGTCCCAGGTGTTTGAGAACGTATTGTACACGCCCTGCGGGTTCGTAAAGAGCGCTACGTGCTCTAATTCCGGTCGCATGCTGACTCCATCATCCGTACCACCAGTAATGTCCAGGGGTAATCCCGTACCGCAGATACCAGGGATAACGTTTGTAGCTCCTGTCGTTCCGTTCATGGGGATGACGTACCGACTCGGTGCCGTCGCCCACGATTGCCCAATATTACTCGTACCCAACGCCACGTTGTCCATCGGATCATCGATCTCCATGGCCTTATCCACAGCTTCTTCCAATGTCCGAGGCTGCGGTTCCTGCCTCACTAGCTTCTTCGTGGTTTTATCGAGACATCTGTAGAACTGTGCCAGCAGCACTCGCTCACTGACCTTGTTTCGTCCTACCACATCTCGCAGCCCTGCCGCGAAATCCGCATGTGTTTCGCCCGGCATCATCCTACGCATGCTGACCCTCCATTCAGCAGCTGACTTGTCCAACTTTTCTCCGTATCGACGTAGTAACATTTGTTTTAGGTTCGTCCAAGTTCTCTTCCGCTCGGAGAATCTCCTATCCATGTCGACCCATCACTTAGCTGCGTTCTCCATCAGCTTATTACCCAATATGAAGTACAGCGACTTGTCAGACCAACGCCCTCGTCCTGACTCGGCAGCCCCTTTTAATGCTAAGTCCACCCGATCTATCCACGTTGATACTGACACTTTGGGTGAAGGTGTAAAACTCGGCAGCTCCAAGTCTTTCACGTTCTTCCCTCGCCTCGGGCTTCTTCCTCGTCGATGCCCCTCTTCGCCTCGTCGACCGCGTTGTCTTCCTCTTTCCCGTTGATCATGTTCCTCCCGATACCTACGGCGCCGTCGTCGTTCTGGTTCACCTTCGCTCTCGCTGCTGCTATCACTCGACGAGCTCGAAGAATCCCCCGAGCTGCTTTGCCCAGTGCTTCTACGGTTATTATCTCGATGTCGGTCTTCATCTCGTGACTCGTCAGAGCTGCTGCTGTCGTCCGGTGGAGATGGATCTACCCGCCGTCTTCTCCGCACCGTCTCTCGCTGTTCGCGTCGATCATCTCTGCGTTCTCCATGCTCCCCGTGATTGACATGGCCTCGCTCTCGTTGCACTTCTCTTCGCTCTCGACTTCGGTTGTGGTGACGGGATGGTGTTGTCGAAGCATCGGCAGGTTGCTCGCGTCTCCCTTCATGTACCTCGGCTTCTTCTGGTCCATGTAACTCGTCATGACTCGACTGCATTTGTAGTGTCTTCACCCTTTCCGCCAATCGCTGGATTTCCTGTCGCACTGTCACCCATTCGACTGACGGTTGCTCTCTGCGCTCGGCCTGCTGACTTCCACTTTGAGGCATCTGCAGATTCGTCATGGCACCTGTCAGTTGTTGTAGTGCCGCAGCCACTGTCGCCACCGACTCTCCATCGTTGGTCTTGTCCCTTGTCATCACCGCTACGCTCTGGGATGCACCGCCTCCTGCGTCATCGGTTTGCCTCTCTCCACTGCGGATGTCCCTGACTTCATCTTGACTGTCAGCCATGCTAGGCTGCAACCCCGCCACCATCGCTGTCAGTCCATGCAATACTCGTGCAACATCCACTAACTCGAGCGTCTTGTTACTGAGGCTGTCGCTTTGCTTCGATTCTTCACATCCCGAGGCCTCTTCAACTACAGACGTCTGTTCGGTTGGCGTCGCCTCTGGTTCTCCTTGACGTTGCTCCTCACGCCCATTCTTTCGTTGTTTCTTGGAGCTCGCTTGTGTAGCAAAACTAACCAAGTCGTCGACTTGTCGTTCAACATCCTTCGACCTTCGTCTTCTCATTACTGTTCGTGCCGGAGACGTTGACGACATCTCGTCTGCCGCAATACCACTCGTTCTCCCACTTTCCGGTACTCGTTTCGTCGTGACACTTCCTCGTTTGACTGACGAATGCCCCTGTATGACCACATGTGACAACCCGCTTACGCCCCGTTGCTGGCGGATCGTATATTGTCTGTGCTTCCTGCGGTGGACTACCAGTAGTTCGGTTTGTTGGGTAGCCCGTCTCAATGCAACTCACTCACTCTGTAGGCCCCTCGCAAAGGTGCCGGGACTCTCGTCCCTATTTTATTTACTTCTCTCCTCAACTCCTGTGACTCTGACCTGTTGTGACTAGCAGCCGCGAACTCGCTCTCGGTGGCGTGCTATCACTCACCTGACTCACCCTCTCAACTCTCGACCTATTGCCACGGTTCTTCTCTGGGCCTTCTTTCCCGGAATACACCGCTACTCAGTCTCACTCTTACGCTTCCGACTCGCCACGCGTCCGTAACTTATCGAGCGCCCACTCTTCGTGCTCCTGTCCTTCTAATCCACCCCCAGCACAACTCTGTCCACGCAAAGCACCGACGATTCGGGTCCCACTAACCCTCGCTTACTAAAGCCACTTGGATTACGCCTCTGGCGCCTACCCTACGGCTCGCAGCCACACAGTAACTTGGAGGGTCCTCTCCTCCTGGTCTCGTCGCCCGTCGCTGTCGTTGCCCCACGCGTCCACCAATGCACTGACGACTGATCGTCCGTCCAATCGCACCTCTTCTCTCTCTTCTCCTTCTCTCTTCTCGTGTTGGTCCTCTGACCGCTTCGTGCACCCTACTCACTACCTCGCACTTCTCCGTACTCGCAGTTACTTCGCCTCTGTGCTCGACTGCGCAAATCTCGAAGTGAGATTCAATCTGCTACTGCTCTCCTGCGCAAATCTCGAAGTCTCACCGCTCTCCGTCTTCACGTCGCTTTTCCTCTGCACGTTGGGTTCGTGTTGCGATCTTTGGTCACTCCTGATTGGCTCGCAACTCTCACGAGTCGCTTCTGGATACAAGATCGCATTTGTGCGGTCTCCGCTCGCCACACCAACTGACGCCATATAACCGCTCACTTCACTGACGTACCCAATACCTCCCACGTGCTCTCTACTGCTTGACTCCTCGGCAACCACCGTCAATGCCCTATTACACTAGTTTTGTAGAAGTGCTGACATCTTTTCATCGTAATCTTGGTTCACCTTGATCCGTATATCCTTAAAATGTATACAAACGGAGCTATAACAGCCTGTAGTAGTCTAGATGCACCACATGTACTATCCCGCATGTTGAATTCATCTTCTTTCACCGCCTGGCAACCCACAACCGTCTGAATGCTTTGATCCAATGGGGTTGGTCTGGGTAAATGTGGTTACCCCCCCCCCCAGCAGATTCAAGTGAGTTATTGGTTTTGTTTCCGAGGTGCGGAAGACTTGCTCGCCCGTAGGTCACACACTTGGAATGTGCTAAGGTGTCCTGGATGTCGCACGATCACCGCGAGAAGGACTGCGACGCACTAGCCGCCGCGTGGGGCCTCAGAGGCCGTGATTTTGGTTTTGTGGATTTCACACTAACATGATGTGTACACACGATGAGCGAGCTTCGTCGTCAAAGCTGTCAGCATTGGCCGCAGTGTTTGTTTAAGGGCTGAAGTCACGATATTGAGTGGAAGTTACGAAATGTATGTGAGTTTTTCGTAATTACTCACTGCCAAGTGCTCAGAACAACTCCGAAGCTGTCACTGGTCAAAACCCAGATGATTTACCTGACTATGATTTGAACTGTGGCGTTAATGCCACGGGACGGTACTGGTAGGGCAAGGTAATTTGTTTTTACAGATTACGACCTTTCACATGCTATTTGTGTCGAGCGCCATTCCTCACAGTCCAGGGTCCTTGTACGGAAGAATAACCGAAGACGAGGACGGCAACTCAAGATCATCTCCGACTGGTGAACACCCTTTGGTAGCCAATACGCACCTTCAAGACGATAGCGCTGACGGTGAAAACGGTCAGCCGGCTTACGGGCCCAGATAACCTCACTATTAAGTGTGTCCCACCGGCTGCTAATACATCGAGCAAAGTCGTTGCTGACGAGATACATACGGGATACGTTCCCTTTAGCCGCTGCAAACTCGCGAAGCACTCGCTTGACACGGTTGACCAGTGTACACACTCTTTCTTTAAGCTTAACACCCTGTACAATGTTGTGAATATATTTCGAGAGCATTTCTTTTCAATTCAAAGGGGATTAAAATACCGGTTAAGAGATGAAACGAAGACAACAAAATAAACCTGAACGTTTTCGTAGATCCTGCAAAACTTTCCGCACCGTTGATACCCCGTCATACATGTCTCGCGCAATTCCAAGTAGCGCCGGGTCCACAATTTTGCGAATTTCAGCATAAGCCCTGTAAGCCTGACAATTGGTTTAGTGGTTGTGACATACATTACGAGACGTACGGACGACTTGAAAATGCTCTGAGTCATCACTAGAAGGGACCATCATAACACAGACTTGAGCTATTGTATTCCACGATACGATTTTTCTTGTTTTTTTCTTTCCTGCATATAAACGAGAGTGTCAATATATTATATGTCTTAATGATATACATACCTCGGAAGCAAGGATTTCCTGAATGGGTGCACAGGTGCGAATGTAGATTGGCTTTTTTTTCTTTTGCATCACTGCTACTTGTAGGGTCGCACGTATCAGGATACAACCGAGGGTTTCCGTTTCTGCAGCGTGCAGTATTCTTCTCATTAATTACAGCAATAGAAACTGCCGCTCGAATTCTGGTGCAGAAAATAAAACAGTTTCTTAAGAGGCAATTTAGACATGAGCCACATCAGCAGCACTGTACCGAAGTGGCCGATACGTTTCTTTAATGTACTTGTCGAAAAAGACGGTCAAATCGTCCCATGTTGCGAAGGTTTACACTGCAGATCAACAAAATGCGACAAATGCTAGATGCATTCCCCGAATTTTTAATGGTGGATTCAACTTACGGTAAGGGAAATCATCAATTTAGGGCCGCGAACCAGTTTAGGGCCGCATAAGTTACTGCCAATCATATACAGTACTCCATTGAACTTGGAAACTATTGGTTATAATGAGCTAAGTACGAATACCTTTAAAATTTTAATTTGCAGAAGGGGTGAACCCTTGGCGCCATATTTTTATTCAGCTCCTCCAACCAAATGAGGTTGTTGAGCGCCATCCACTCCGTTCAAACATTTGCAAGAAGAAAACAAACGCTTGACTTCTTATTTGTCCGACCCAAGCCATGTCTAAGACTCGCCACACTTACTCTACTGACACCAAGACTGCCATTGTGGCAAAAATACTCAGCGGTGCGGCGGTTCCCGAGGTCGCGGCGCAAACCAAGATACTTGAGAGGACATGCTTCCGCCCAACGCCACCCACCTATTGCAGCCTCTGGACGTTGCAGACTGCAACTTGCAGTTAATGCGACACTAAAAGTGAAACTCTGCAATCTGATAAAGGAGGTTGTTGACGAAGACGATGAGGGCTGTTATTCGATTGACAAACCCAACGCAATAAAGCCTGCAAATATGGCTTGGGCCACCAGCAGCAGAACACGTACTAAGTCGCGCAGAGAATCTGCAGTCGCCACCGAAGGCAAAGACGATGGAGTCCCTCAAGAAACGAGCGCAGCCCAACATATTGTCAATTCCGTCGTAGTGTAGCTAATCAACAAAAAGGTTAGTTGCAATCTTTACACAATGTTTAAGAATTGATAACTTACCTTTTCAGTGCGGAGAATTAACGGCAACGAGTAGACTCGAGCCTGCGACACCCCTGCTCCCATAATGGGCCCTCAATAAGCTAGCGTCTAAACGACTGAGCTGTCAGCAATTGACGTTTCTGATTTTGTTTTGGTAATGACAGACGTTTGATTATTCTTGCATAATTATGTATCCTCCGTAATTTTATCAAGACGCATAAACATAAAAAGAAAGGGTGATCAGACCCTATGCTTGAATGGGCTTGAAATTTTCACCAGCTGAACATTTTAGTACTGAAGTTAAGGCTAAATGCGGCCCTGAACTGATGCGACAAAAATTTCTGCTGCCATGTCCTGAACGATCAATGCTATTGGTCATTGGCCGCAAAAAATACGATAAAAACATTCAGATTACAAGCTTTCGGACACTGTCTCGCTTTGTGTCCCTGTGCAAATAGTTGCCGAGTTATGTGACTTTTTTTCAGGGCGGCCCTAAATTGATGATTTCCCTTAAGAGCGTTACTACACCTCTGTCACAGTATTTCCGAATATGTCCATGTATTGGTTGGCAAACCTATTTTTTAAAAAATAAACAATTTGAAGCTCAAGTTATTTATCCATATCGCGCACGACACTTTTGGTAAAGGTTTGTTTGTTTTTCACTCATTTATTAACCGCGAAACGGCGGAGAATTTCAGGGATGTTGCTTTCGCGTTAAAAGAGACGAGCCCAGCATGGAACAAAATCGCTATTATTGTGATAAGAAGCGGCTGTAAGAACGCATGTCATAAATTTATCTAATAGCTTGAATAGTTCGGCTTAGGTTTAGGTCGATAAGGTGCTTACTGAGATAGGTGCTTTACAAAGTGCATTCCCTGACGCACGAGTGCTATGATGCCGCTTTGACGTAATGAAGGCGCTTCCGAAATGGTTGAGACAGCATCGCTACGATAATGACGTGCTCGAAACTCTTAAAGGGGTATTTCGCTTGCTAGCCAGTGCAAGGTCTGAGGCTGAATACGACAATGCTCGGAATTCTATCATATCAGCTCTTCCAGACCGAAAATTTAGTCACATTTTTGGCGTATTATGACGAGAACTAAGACAGTTATAGAGGCGATAGCTACCTTGAGTCTGTGTCTCGGTGCTCCACGCTCGCGCCATCTCTCTCAACCGACGACGCGTTGATGAATTCAGACCAGAAAGGGCGGCTGGCAAGCTGTTCTAGCCAAAATCGACAGGAGCAACTGTAGTCTGATGGAAGCAACGTGCGACCTCAGCACAGCCGCGTTGGATGGTGGCCGTGTGAGTCCGAGGTGAGGCAGCTGACATTTGCTGTGTTACGCAGGTCAGTGGCCATTATTCTCATAAAAGAAAAGGGTGTCATTGTTATACCTGTCTTGTCGGGCCGCGGAGCTGAGCCACAGTCTCTTCATAGTGCCTGATGCTGCTTAGTGCGGCAACGGCGGCAGTGATCGAATGCATTGTCGTCGCTTGGTGACAGCATACTCGGTAAGCTATGCAATACGACTGAATTTTTAAATCGAAGGCACTAAGCGTGTAGAATATACTAACGTTTGTTATCACTTTTAATGCTGTGCAGCGCGTACTAGTTATTCTCAAGCGCATGTCCTTTGATGCGAGGCGCCATGGGTCTTTGCAGCGTCGCTTCTTGATTGCACCGCGGTAAACGAGCCGCTCTCACCAAAGAGATCAATGTGACCGCGAAGGTTCAAAGCAAACAGAAGATGGATGCAGGCCGAAAACTTCAGGAAAAACCGGCCCGAGCATGATAGATGGCGGACGTTGACAGACCACCCCATCTCTGGCATTCCCTCGACTTCCATTCTGGCTGTATCCACTCAACTTCCATTCTGGCTGTATCCAGTGCGGAGACTGGGAGGCCCTCGTGCTTCCGACGCGCATCATCGTCACAGGGCCGACGTGCTGGTACGGATCGGATCCAAACGAGATCTGGAATGAGGGATTCTTGGGATTTTTCGCCTAGCATAAAGACTACGCTGAGTCTGTTGTGTGCACATTCGCTGAGGAGCCCTTTCCGCTCCATTTCACGTGCACGGCGCAAAAGACGTGCGTCAGTTACGGTTACTGTAGTGAAAGATTACACTCGTACACTTTCGAGCCGACACCACTCAAGCAAACGATCAAGCGGTATACCCATTTTCAGTTTATGGTGGACAGTGACATCCCACTTGATTGCGGCATTGTACTGATCGACGGGGCCGTTTGTGATGGCAAACTCCGAGAGTGTATGAAACATTTGCCACCACCAGAACTTCCCCGTCAACCAAGTCTTTTGAAAGTAGGAGGTGAACGACGCCAGCTTGGACCATGCCGCTCATTCCAGCAACACACTGCTCATCTTCTTTTCATACTCGCTTGTATTCACCGTAAAGTGGAGACCATGTACACCACGATGAATCATAGCAAATACATTTGCATCGAGTCCTCTAGCCTTCTCGTACACCTGCTTTGCAACGTGAAATAATCCCATTAAGTGCACGATGTTGCAGTCAACTCCAAAAACCTCGTCAACCGAATTTTGTTGAGCCTTGTCGGCGTCTGCCATCACGTAACACACTGCAAGCGGTTTTCCCATCACTTGCATGTACACCATACGTATCGCAGAGAGTGCAGCAGCGAGCGAAGGCTGCTGTTGTGGCATCACAGCTATGGCAACCACGTGCAAAACACGCATTTTGTCGGGTATTCCAACCACAAGCACATAGTACGCAGCTTGACGCAACTTGAAGGTTGTGTCGAGGTGGAAGACAAGCGAAGTCGGGTCTCGGTCAGCCCGCTGCAATAGCTTCTTTGTGGTAACGCCGATAATGGAAGGTCTTATGCGTCACAGGCGTTTCCGATAACTGGACGGTCAGCAGGGATGCCCAAAAATAAATACTCGGAAAAATAATTTTGTATTGTTTGAAACAATTACTTATTTTGCACATATTTGGTCAGTCACAAATAATTGATCTCACCAATTCTGAAAAAGTAATGCTTAATTTTCAAGCTGCCTACACCACCCAAAAGCGTTGGCAGTCAGCTTCCAAGTACTCCCGGAGAGTCACTGACCGCAGCACTTCGTTTGCATTTCTAAATTTGCCACTTCTCCGCCATCCTGCCGACACGCCGCAATACCTGCCATGCTCGCCAATCTCGTCGATACGACTCAGAAAACTCAGCCTTTCTCACCAAGGCAAATTGCCGCCTTCTTCTTCAAGCCCGTGCTGGACGAAGAAGGCGACATTACAGGCTACCATGCCTGCAAGGCCTGTGGCAAACGGCGTAAACACGCTCCTCGGAGCGGCTACACTAACCTAGTGACGCACGTTCGCGCGTCGCACCCAAGGTTCGAGAGCGAGATGCGTGACGCGAGCGCTGCTGCGACTGGAACACTTGTTCCCTGGGTGAGCCAGAAGGCATCGAACCGTTACGCGTGGTTGAAGTGGGTTGTCGAGGGCAATCTGCCGCTCAACTTCTGCGAGTCGAGTTGGACGCGCAAGTAAGTACACAAATTCTATCGGACTATTTATGATTTGAACTAATTTCGTATACGTGCGTTTGAACAGGAATACGAACTTGGCGCCCGTCTCTGTTGGAACTTTGGTGTCTAACATGGAAGACCTCACCAAGGCTGTAGAGCGGTCTATTGGTGAGGAGATGCCCGATGAGTTTGGGCTTATGCTCGATGGCTGGAGCCACGGAACGGAACACTTCCTGGCTGTCTACGCTTGTTACGATGAACCCAACGGGCCATGCTACCCCCTTTTATCAATGGCTCCAATAATGGAGGAACCGGACGATCAGCTGTCCGCGGATGGGCATTTGCTTGCTATTGAGCGTTTTTTACCCTTTTTTGGGAAATCTATTGAGGGGTGTAAGTTCCTCGTTGGGGACAACTGCTCGGTTAACAAGCGCCTTGCCAACATCATGGGCGTCCCGCTAGTCGGATGCGCCAGCCACCGACTTAACCTCGCGGTTCGAGATTACCTGGCTCCGCACGAACCCGCACTAGAGGAGGTTCAGCAGTTAATGCGCAAGCTACGTACCCTCAAGCAAGCCGCAAAGCTGAGGTACCGTGATCTGTATTTTTGTATCCAATTCATTTTTGTTAATGTAATTGTGGAATACTATTTTTTGGTCTGTGATTTTTTTTTGGTACAGATTCAAAACGCCGCTGGTACCAATTATGCGTCAGGACACGCGCTGGGCCTCGACATTCTCGATGCTGAAGCGCTACTTCAGGCTGAGGGAGTTCCTCTCAGCTGACGACGACGAGCTGGCCGACATGTTGCCATCCCGGACGACACACCGCCAGCTAGAGGAGCTCTTGTCCAAGCTTCGATGCGTTGAGTCCGTTTCCAAGATGCTACAGTCCGACGGACTTACTCTGTTGGATGCCAGGGATCTTTTTGATGGTCTGTTGGAGATTCGTCCTTCAATGAGCAAGTACCTTGGTAAGTGTTTTTTATTTGAAATGTTTTGGATTCTTGTATTAATTTTTTTATGTCTAGCTCCAGATGCAGGTATCATTCACGCGCAGGCTTTTGAGGCAGCTGTGGTCAAGGTATTGGCTGGAAAAACGGTTGAGTTGACGGCAATGGAGATAACGGTATTGGAGCCATTCCGTCAGCTCGAAGCGGCAGCAACGAGCGCGTCACCAGCGTCTCCACCGGATGCGGATGGCTTTGCTCGCCAGATTCTAAAGCGCCGCAAGATTTCCGCGGAGCCTGTCAGGTACAAGCTGTTAAGTGCCATCCCTCCGACGTCAAACATCGTGGAGAGGCTCTTCAGCGTGGCTCGAGCGGTCTTGCGTCTCGAGCGTCACCGGATGTCGCCTTTGACCTTAGAAATGATCTTATTTCTGAAGGTCAACGCGAGTTTCTGGAACGTAGCTACTGTGGACTCTTGTTTATCGACGGCTGTGTAGGTCAACTAACACGATTGTAGTAATAATTTACTGCACGTTTCCAAGTATTCCAGTTATTTATTTACCTCAATCTGAAGCATCAATGAAATCTGTATTTTCTAGTAGATTCGCCAGAGCGATTTTATTTTAT